CACGACTAGGTTAACAGATCCGAGTGGGAAAATTGCACTAAGTGAGAACTTCATAACACCCATCCCCATGGTAGACCATGAAACAAATAGGAAGGCCAAAAAGAAACGTTCACGACGTCGCAAGACGACAAGAACGCTCCCCAAGAAGGAAGACGACTGCAAGGTCTGCGCTTCTGTTGTCGAACAAGCAGACTCTGCTTTCGAATGTAACTTTTGCAAGCGATGGGTGCATTGCAGATGCGACAGTGGGGTACCAAAAGCATATTATGACTTTATGCGTAAAAACCCATGCCAATGGTTCTGGTACATATGCCCGAGTTGCCGTCCTGATGTAGCCTCGCGTAGTCCTTTGAAAACTAAATTTGGCACAGAAGTAGCGGGGAAAAATGTGAAAAGCTCGACCCCCACCAATCCGGAAGTTAGTACAAACGCAAGTAAACCGGGGATACCAAAATCCTCACCGGTTAAACTTGTAACTCTTGACATAACCGCTCCAGACACAGAGGCTGGAGAACCACGGGTTTCCGTCGTTGGAAAAAGACCCCAACCGTCTGCCAGTAATGCTGGCCATAGCACTGAGACACATAAAAATACCCAGTCGCACCAGACAAACCAAAACGGTCTTAAAGGTGATCACAAATGTGCGAGGACCGAGCCCAAGCCCACGGTTAGCAGATCAAATTGTGTAATCCTCTTTAATGTACCAGACTGTAGCAGTAGTCTGCTGAAAGATAGGGCCCTATTTGATCAGGAACAGTGGTCCATCTTGTGCAGCACACTGGGTTTGGACATCCAACCAGTAAATCTATGCAGATTGTATAGGGGCACTGCTGCACCTGAAGGCAAACCATCCCCACTGAGGGTAACATTGCGCTCTACCGAGGATGTTGAAAAAGTGTTACTGGCTTCTCAAGTCCTTTCTATAGGGAGGGCCTGTAACATACGTGTTAAGCCAGACAGGCCGTGGAAGGAAAGACAAATGGCGAGGGAGTCGCCAGAGCTCATTCCTTCTGCCTCCATGGTTGTGCATGGCATTCCCGAACTGGTAACTGGGAACGCCTGCGAAAAGCATTGTCATGATGTACAACAATGGAGATGGTTGGCATCCCAGATGGCCCTGGGAGTTCAGGGGCTGTCTCTATTTATAGACTGCCTCGACCCACTCATCTTATGTCAATTAACTCGCCACGTCTGTTAGCTGTCAAGTTCAGCTCCCAAGACCAGTTGACTACCGCTCTCCATAGATGGTACGAGACCAAGGACAAGGTCAGCAAACACATTCGCTGCTGCGAGAGCCGGCCTCGCACTCAAAGGAGAGAACAAAGCGTAGTAAAAAAAATCCTCAACCCCTAGTCACACTACAGCGGTGCAGCACGGACGATGATAGCCAGTGTCATCCGAGTGCTCCAACTGAACTAGAAGAAAAAAACGCCAACAGGCCGGTTCCTGGGGAATCGGCCAACTAGTTCGTAGGATAACTCCTCAACCGATAGCCAATATCAAGTCAACTACCCCCCAATACGGGGAAGTGGTGAGACTGACTACCAGTTGCCTGTATAGTAATGTGAGAGGGCTAAGAGGCAAAATAGCTGAACTTAGACACCTACAATCACAACTAAACTCCAAAATCATAATACTGACGGAAACCTGGCTAACCCCTACGGTGGCAGACAGCGAAGTCAGTATAAATGATATGGTCCTAGTCAGGCGAGATAGGGACCTGAAAGAAGGAGGTGGAGTCGCCATATACGTCGACAAACAGCTCAGATGTGTTCACGCGATGGACCCTCCCCTCACAGAGCTCCCTGACTCCATATGGTGCCACTTCACCGTTGGGTACTGCAAATATCTAGTGGGCAGCATTTATCGATCACCTTCATGTGGAGCAGACCACAACCAGGTACTGCTAAATACAATTTCAGCGACTCAAGACATGGGTTATGATCAAATTGTCATAGCTGGTGACTTCAATGCCCCATCTCTTAACTTGGTGTCGGGAAAAGCCCATGATAGATTTGATCGAAATCTGCTGCATACCATCAGGAAGGCTGGATTCACTGAAAATGTCAAGATGGATACTAGATGGGGCCCTGATGGGAAGTCTTCTAGACTGGATTACGTGCTCACTAGTGACCAGCTACTAGTGGAAAACGTTCAGATCACGACTCCCATAGGTAGTAGTGACCACGCGGTCATAGTATTCGACATAGTCCTCCGCGAGCGCTTACAGTGGGACAATACACAGCCCTATCTGTGTTATAACAAAGCCAACTACACCAAAATGCGAAGACTTCTGTCTGAAGCAAACTGGCCTAAAAAATGGACAGAGCTAACAGTAGAAGAACACTGGAGAGTGGTAAAGGAGATCATTCACCAGGCGGTCTCAGACACTGTTCCTTTAGTCACACCAAAAGCTAGGAAGCAACGATCATGGCTGAAAGGGGGACACAACGCCTTCTGCAGGCAAAGCGAAAAGCCTGGTTCGCGTGGCGACGATCGAAGAGTCAACCCGAATATGAAGTGTACCTTGAACTCAGGAATCGATGTAACATACGAGTCCGGAGCGATAGAAGGACATTTCAGGGAGACCTCGCCAATAAGCTTCTCGTGAACCCCAAAAGCCTATACAGGTTTATGGCCGAAAGAAAACCGACCAACCAGGGAGCATGCAATCTAGTGGGTTCTGATGGGAAATCTCTTACTAGTCTTGAAATGGCAGAGACATTCAGCCTAGCCTTTCACAGGCAACTAAATAGTAACGAGGATATTACCCCTACAGAACATCCAGATTACATCGCAAAACCAACACGCGAAAACCTGCTGGGTACATTTCAAATTACCCCGGCTATGGTACTTGCAAAATTGGGAAGGTTGGCTTCGGGAAAGTCTTCAGGTTGTGATGGCATCAGACCATCTGTCCTGAAGCAGTGTTCAGAAAGTCTCTGTCAACCCCTAAGTGATCTGTTCCAACACTCCCTTGATGTAGGGAAACTTCCATGTGAATGGAAACGTGCAATCCTATCCCCTATCTTCAAGGGTGGTGACCGGCAGAATGCGACCAGTTACAGACCAGTTGCTCTACTTCCAGTGGTATCGAAGATATTGGAAAGTCTCATTGACGACCACATGAGAAAATACTTCGATGGGACTAACCTTCTTCACGAAGCACAGCACGGTTTCAGGAGGGGAAGATCCTGCGTGACGAATCTTCTACTAGCTTGGAACGATTGGACACTATCCTGGGACAAAAAGGTACCAGCCCACGTGATCTTTCTCGACTTTGCGAAAGCATTCGACACAGTTCACCATGGTCTGCTCCTTCACAAAATAAGCAAGGCGGGTGTTTCTGGAGCACTTCTCGCATGGCTGACAGATTACTTAGGCGAGAGAGAATTCTGCACCAAAGTCAACCGCATCCGATCATCCTGGCACACCTCGGCATCAGGGGTTCCTCAGGGTTCTATCCTAGGGCCGTTGATGTTTTTGATTTTTATCAATGACCTGCCCTCCCAACTAAACTGCTCTGCGCTTCTTTACGCTGACGACGTAAAGATTTGGAGAGCAATAAACTCATCGGAAGACTCAGATAGATTGCAGGCTGACCTGCAAACTCTGGGAAATTGGGCTTTGGCTAACGGAATGCCTTTCAATCTAAAGAAGTGCAAAGTAGTGCAGCTTCATTCCGGCAGGTCACAGAGTGTAAATTACACCCTTGGTGGCCAGAACTTGAGTTGTGTTCCATCAGAGCGTGATCTAGGTCTTATTCTAACAGAAAAGCTAGACACCAGTGGAAATTACTCGAGGGACGTCGCCAAAGCCTACGCAACATTACACTTTATGCACAGGCAGCTGGGAGCTCTCACTCCCGAACTGTTCTTAAGGCTATATAAGGCATATGTGAGGCCACACCTTGAGGTGCATAATATCATTGCACCTCCGCTACTCAAAAGGGATGCTAACATTCTAGAAAGTGTCCAGAGACGAGCGACAAAATGGGTGATCGGCCTCCGCAACAAATCATATGAGGAAAGACTAAAGAAATTAGGTCTTTTCACACTTAGTTACCGTAGGCACAGGGGAGACCTCATCACCGTCTACAAGATCCTAAATGACCAGGCCCACCCAAATAAAAGCATCCTGCCATTAAGTGATTATAGGCTTCCACGAGGTAACCCGCTAAGGATAGCACACCAGAGACCAAAGACTCGAGTGCGATCACATTTCTTTTCGCTTCGTGTTTGCCGTCTCTGGAACGCTTTACCGGCGGCCGTGACTACAGCGCCATCTCTGGAGATTTTTAAGCGGAAGCTAGACAATCATGCAGAAATGCAAGGTTTGTGTCTCAATGGCTTATCCTCATAAAATTTGAAACCACACTGTCAATGGATAAGCGTACAAACTAAATCCCCACGACCTATTCTGCCTTCTCTCACTCTATCTTTTCCTTAGGTCACCTTTATTATTCCACTTATCTCAACCTATATTATCTACACTACAACCTATTATTTTTATTATTACTACTATTCTGCTTTTATGACTACACCGAATGACCAACGGGAGTTAGGTCAAACTCCATTCACGGCAGCAATACAGTCCTAACATACTGCATACTACAAACCACATCTCGACCAATCCCCGCACCACTCCTCCTGGAGTCTACCAGAGCTAAAGCAGTCGAGTGTCGGGACTTACTACGCAGAAGCTCACCGAAGATCTGGAACCTCTACCTCACAATCAAGAAGCGAGCTCAAAGAAATCACTGGTTTATACTAGCTCGTAATCAGGATATTGGATATTGGATACTGGTTCTCCTATCCTGTTATTGAATCATTGAAATAAAACCTGGAAGAAGTGTCGCCTGATCCATGAGTTAACTCCTTTCAATAGGCGCTTAGTCTAGAAGAGATATTTATTAAGAAGCTCAAAGTCTTCTTTAATTGAGCGATGATTTGAAATTCGGTAACTCACTGTCCGAAGTTCTCAATTCGAATTCAAGGTCAATGCCTTGTTTCTTCTTTGTACGGCAGTTTTATTTTAGTGTTCTTATTCTCGTAAATTAAAAGGCATTTTAGGGTTAAAATGTTCAATTCCGTCACACACTAATTGTGACTGAACATTTGTATCTATGGGTAAATATGAGTACGACAAACAAAAAAGATTCTTCACATTTTGCATTTGGTTTCAGTCACAGGTATATGTAAATTTATAAGTTTATTCAAATCATTTGTGGTCATGATGGAATATTCTTCATCCTTAAAATGTATTAGATACATGGTCCTTTGTGCTGCTGTCAGTATAAGCTACGCATAGACCGAGCTGACAATGCTCTTAATCATGCCTGGATTCAGTCTCAGTACAAAATATTTGGGCGGACCTGAAGCGCGTTCAGAAGATTACGAGATTGTTTAATTTAAACCCCCTAAAACGAGTGTTTGCACCAATAAACTATTTTCGACACACGAAAGCGTAGTACTTATTATTCAGCTACAGAACTCATTCCTGTTTTGCAGGTGCTTGAGTACTTGTTATCTCTGCCTAGTTGAAATCCTCTTTCTAAGTTCTTTCCGGTTGTTTTGTTGCTGACAACGATTGGGGTTATGGCATATGCATTTTTTCTTAAACGCGGTCAGTCATTAAACATTAAAGTAACCCTTAAACTATTTCCGTAGAAAAAAGATATCGTTTGTGATCATAAATGTCTTCGAAGACATATTCTTTGATTTGAGATTCTTGCTTTAGACGTGATCGGTCATCTTATTTTTAAGGAGCGTATAAGTTAATCTGTGTAGTTTCTTTCCCATACGTAATTTACTTTATTCTGATATGGACAGTCAAATGAGTAGAACTGCTTATTCACTCTTTCAGGTCACCTAAAACATCTTTGAAATGTATATAGTAGATGCATTGTAAGCGGTTATTAGTGTTTTTAGTTGTGCTAGTTTTCCGAAAGTAATCTCGGTATCCTGATTTCCATAACCTTATTTTATTTCTCACTAAGCATGTTATTGATTGATTGTGATTTCCTCTCTTGCTTTTTAGTTCTTTTGGAAACTTCTCTCGGATAGATTGAAGAAAAAAAATGCTAAAATCCTAAAGAATCTAATGTACTATGTTACTAATGCAGATGAGCAAACTAATAAGCAAGTTAGTTATGAAAGTTTTTTGTTACTTCTGCTTGACAAACTGTTATCTAATATCGTTTAGGACTTATTTACCCGTGTTTCGACGGATTAAAATAAATTTTATGCCGAGGTTAATTAGTCTTTTCTCCAGAATTTGCGACGCAGAAGCCGTTATGGCTCTACTGAAATCATGTTTTCGCGGTAAGCTTTCTGCACTTAACTTTCATGTGGTATGGATATCATTTCGACAAGTAAGACTAGATTGTGATTGAGCTTCAACGTTGTCAAACCCGCACATAGCTGTTATGGCTCTGGACTGTTAAAGTCACTCGACTTCTGGTTTCAATTTAACGTTGAAAAGCCTTAGCATCCTTTTATTTCAGATCCCAGTATTAATCTGTTTCCATTCCTTGAGTTCCTAGTGGAACATACGGCTTCAATCCTTGGGTTTCTGGGTTTCAGCAGTAATAGTGTTTTTATGTCGTGGGGTTTTTAGCTTCACACACAACCTGTGTTATCCTCTGGGCTTACCGGTGGCTAGGAAACAAGGCGAGGTCTAACTGCTTATTCGGCCGTAATCGAACCTGCGCAATTGTGTTTTTGGTGAGCATCCTGCCATTGTACGGCTGACACATCCTACACGAATAATTCTAACTTGATTACATGAGCGAACGTTTCATGTGTTCGATCCAAACTTATACCTTAAGACCCACTTGCTAGCGTCACTATTGCAGTAAGCTTTATCAGTTGAGCACCGTTTCTTGACGGAACCCTTAATGAGTCTCATGTTTGAATTAGAAAGCAGTTACTTTTCTACGAATGACTTAATAGTTTTGATTGAATTCTGTTGAATGTTAAATGATCTCTTACAAGTAAGCGTTGACGAGGCATCACCGCAGAGGTTGTGGATATAAATGCGTCTAAAATAACAAAATATGTAGCTCATGTGGATGATTTTGACTTGGTTTTATTCTCTGAGCTGGTTGATTTAATCGCGAAGCTTTCACAGTCTTTCTCGACAACAACTTCAGTGGAAGTTTTAATATAAATTGAACTTGTTTGAATTCTCCTTGAGTAATACAGTTGTATCTCCTGACAACCATTGTCATAATTAGTTCTTAGTTTACAACTGTGTTGATCATTTTTATTCACTTGGAATTCGATGTTCCTTATTTTATTCCCTTTATTTTCGTGAATTTGATGTATAGTAATGTATTTCTTAAAATAAGTTCCTTCAAGGTGGATACAGAAATGCCTATGTCTATGTTTCGTGTAGTAATCTCCTCACAGTGGATTTTATAAGTAATGTATTTGTTAGTCCCGACTCATCTGAGTACCAGGCTTCTAGAAATTACCTGATATTTTTGGTTTTTTTGTTTAAGTGGACGTCAGAGCTATTCTGTGTATATAAAAAGACAAATAAACTTATTAGAGTGGTCAAATTCCCAAGAATATATATCACATTGTTGTGCACTTTGAATATTATCACTAAGGTTCTGCAACTACCTGTTACTGTCTTGACTGACTTCTGTCCAACTTAGTTACTTGACCGTAACATACGTGTGTTGTTGGTTTTATACCTCTATTCTATATGTGACATACATTCGAAATTATAGAATATATCTGAATTATTTTTGTGCTAACTTGTGATCTTAATATCGGCTTTTATTCCATCCCATTAATATTTAGTGACGTGTTGTTAATATTTATCACTTTTAAGATCAGTAACTATTGTATGCGAATGTGTAAATTGTTCATAGTTGTATACAGCTGAAAAGACTCGACGAGATATAATGACGCCATTTTGTTCTGCACAATATCTTGCTTTGTTCAAGTTTATTAGGGAAACAGTTGTGTGGTATTGGGATTTTAACTATTTTAATTTGTTTCAAACACAAAATCTGGTACAATATGAGCACCAAAAAGATGCGCCACACAATAATAATAATTAAACTATTGCTCATAGTCATATCAACTTAATATGACTATGAGCGGTAGTTTGTGCTCGAAACTTCATCAGTTAATACTACTGTACAACACTGTGTGATTGATCAAAATAAAATCTTATCCATAATGGCGTTATACTCTACCATAGTGTCCAAGTTTTATACTTATAGCAGGTGCTAACAGTTTGCTCAAATCATGTAAATGACGCCGTTTATGAACCCCATCAGATCGCAAAACGAACCTGGCACACACTAAAGCATGGTCGGACTGTAGGCATGTGCTCTCTTTCCTTCATTAGAGGATGTATTGATCATATCTTCACCCTCCGACAGATTCTAGAACATAGTCATTCCTACCGGCGTCCAACAGTCATTATATTTCTTGACCTAAAGGCGGCATTCGACTCTGTCGATCGAGTTCTCTGGAGATGCTTGGCTGTAAAGGGAATTCCGAGAAAATATATTGCACTGATTAAGGCACTCTACTCGTACTCATACAGCCAGGTGAGGGCTTACGGCGAGCTGTCATCTGAACTGGTGACAACTAGTGGTGTCCGTCAAGGATGCCCATTATCCCCTTTTCTATTCAACTTCATCATAGATGTGTTAATGGACTTAACCCTAGGTGACTTCAGCGATTCAGGGATTGACTTGCTACCGGGGAATAATCTCGTTGACTTGGAATATGCAGATGATATAGTCCTTATAGGCGAGGACGCTGACAAAATGCAGAGTCTTCTGAACACCTTGAGCTGCAATCTACGAATGTTTGGCATGCGATTCGCTCCCGCCAAATGCAAGATGATGTTACAGGACTAACTGGACTACACCGGCTCCTACATTAGAAATAGGGAGTGAAGCGGTTGGTGGAGCACGTTGACCGCTTCACTTATTTGGGAAGTACCATCAGCCAACGCCAACGGGTTGATCTCTGACGAAATCTCAGCACGAATACAGGGGGCTCGTTTCGCGTTTGCCAGTTTACGCCGACTCTGGCGTAGACGAGATGTTCGACTATCGACCAAAGGGCGGGTGTACTGCTCATCAGTCCGCCCCGTCCTCCTTTATGCCTGGTTGTGAGACCTGGCCACTGAGAGTGGAAGACATGAAAAGACTGGCTGTCTTTTATCATAGGTGCCTGCTCTCTATTTCCCGTGTGAAGTGGCATAATAAGGTGAGCAACATTGAGGTTAGGCGTCGAGTTCTAGGTAAACTGGGGAAATCAATCGATGAAGTCGTGAAGTTATAAAGACTGAGATGGTTAGGACATGTGCTACGTATGCCAAGCCAGCGCCTCCCTCGACGAGCAATGTTAGCGGATATAGGGTCAGGCTGGAAAAAAGCTAGCGGTGGTCAAAGAAAGACTTGGCACCAGTCAATGAAATCCACAACAGTTGGTCTAAGCCACGTAGGAAGGTGTAGACTTCCAGGCTGGGGTCCTCGGGACGGTAAAACTCTATGATTGGAAACAATTGGTGACATGGCTCAAAATCGTTCTCAGTGGCGCAGATGCATCCACTCCTTGTGACTTATGATCTCCAATGAAACTGTTTTGTTTTTCTTTATTACTCCTTTGTCTCACACCTCTGCTCACTGTTTCTATTATGCCTTTCTTGCACTTTCTTCTCTTGCTTCGCGTGCTACACGGAGTGTGGCGACTTGAACTTCCGCACATTTGTGCAAAGTTCTATGTCGAAAACAGACAGACAGAGGCATGTGCTGCAGGAGTGGCAGTCCGGTACGCTCGCCAACGGAAACTGACAGCAATATGACCAATCTGCGTCCAGGTTTGATAATACTAATCAGAAATGTCCACTATCTCCATTTCTGTTTAGTTTTATCGTAGATATCGTACTAATGGACTTAGCCCTAACTGACTTCAGCGACTCAGGGATTGACTTACCACCACGGAATAATCTCATTGACTTAGAATATGCAGATGATATAGTCCTCCCTCCTAGGTGAAGACGCTGACAAAATGCAGAGTCTTCTGAAGAGATTTAGCAGCAATTTGCGAATTTTCGGCATGTGATTCGCTGCCTTCAAATTTTAGATGATGCTGCGGGACTGGACTCGACTACATCGACCCACTCCTAGCTTAAAGATAAGGGGGGAAGTGGTGGAGCGTGTCGATCACTTCACTTATTTGGGAAATCGCACTAGCCAACGCCAGTGGGTTGATCGGCGACAAAATCTCAGCACGGATACAGAAGTTTTGTTTGGCATATGCCAATTTACGCCATCTCTAACTTAGTAGACCTGATATCCGGCTGGCTGTCGACCAAAGGGTGTGTGTACTGCTCAGCAGTTCACTCTGTCCTCATTTATTGGCGTGAGACATGACCACTTAAAATGGAAGACATGAAAAGCCTGGTTGGCTGTCTTTGATCATAGGTGCCTGAGTTCTGTCTGTCTTGTTAAGTACTGTGATAAGGTAAGCAATGTGCGTCAGTGGTTAGGACTCTCGCCAACCATGCACATGGTCCGAGGTTCGATCCTCTGCCGACGCACACCTGATATTTATGGTCGGCCTGCGAAATTTGGGCTACCGATATCCATGCTGAAAATTCCATACTTGTACCAAAAATACAGTGTGGAATAAAAAAAATAAAAAAAAATATTGAGGTTAGGTGCTAGGTAAGTAGGGGAAATAATTCGTCGGTACTATGAAGTTACACCGATTGAGATGGTTAAGACATGTGTTTAACATGCTTAGCCTAACCATAGCCTTCCTCGACGGGGAATGTTGGCTGACATAGATTCAGGTTGGAAAAGAGCCACTGGTGGTCAGAACAAAACATGGGATCAGTCAATGAGATCTACAACAGTTAGTTTAAGCTAGCCACGTCGGGATGTCTAGACCTCCTGGTTCGGGTCCTCAGGATAGTAAGGACCAATGGCTAGAGACAATTGGTGAAGTGGACAAAAATAGACCACATAGCAATAAGCTATCGTTGGCGTGGGTCGGTAGGAGATTGTCGCTCCTTCTGGAACACGTGTGTAGATACCGACCACGCACTGGTCCGCGGTCGGGTGTGCCTACGACTATACGGAGGTAGGAAACAGCCGGCGGCAA